GAAACTGTGATACATTTTATTTTTCAGGATTCACAGATGAATAGAAAGTTCAGTAGAACAGCATTTATTATTTTGTGTGTTTACAAACATAGGTTAATGTGTATGATGGTGTGTTTCTCCGCAGAACGAGCAGCAGTTGGACTGTGCGCTGGACCTGATGAGGCGCTTGCCTCCGCAGCAGATCGAGAAGAACCTCAGCGACCTCATCGACCTGTAGTCAGGCTCACTCTGAACACATATCAATTGAAAGAATGAGCTAACCTATAAAGGAACATTTTATATGAGTGTTGGAGTATTGGACACAGTGCAAGTGCAAGGACGCATTTTGTTGTTTGGGGTGATTTTGCTTTTAGTTTTCTCCAAAACTATACAGTAAAATGCCTTGAAAATAAATACAGTGATAGTCAGGCTCACTCTGAACACATATCAATTGAAAGAATGAGCTAACCTACAAATTAACACTTTTTATGAGTGTTGGAAAATGGGACGCAGTGCAAGTGCAAGGACGCATTTTGTTGTTTGGGGTGATTTTGCTTTTAGGTTTTTCCAAAACTATACAGTAAAATGCCTTGAAAATGAATAGAGTGATAGTCAAGGTCACTCTGAATTCATATCAATTGAAAGAATGAGCTAACCTATAAAGGGACACTTTTTATGAGTTTTGGAAAATTGGACACAGTGCAAGTGCCAGGACGCATTTTGTTGTTTGGGGTGATTTTGCTTTTAGTTTTCTCCCAAACTATACAGTAAAATGCCTTGAAAATAAATACAGTGATAATCAGGCTCACTCTGAAGACATATCAATTGAAAGAATGAACTAACCTTTAAAGGAACACTTTTTATGAATGTTGGAATATTGGACACAGTGGAAGTGCTAGGACGCATTTTGTTGTTATATACACATTTTAACAATTTATTTAAGTCCACTTAAAAGAAATAACTTACAAGGACGTAAATATTATAGATGCAGTTAGATAAATCTGATGAATCTGCAGTTAGTACAAAATCATGGACCAATGGCATGCAGCAGGTCTTCACAATATTAAGCATATCACTCAGTTGTTATGGGTATAAATAACAGCGTCTCCTCCATATATGACAGCTGCCTATGATAGAGGACAAAGCACAGTACTTTGCTAGCTGTTTAGCCCTCTTTTTGGGCATCCTAAGTTGTTGAAGCCCTCTTACAACCAGCCTGTGTGTGTGTCCTAAGCTGCCAAATATAAAAACAAGTAATCGGCCTCTATAACCTATCTCTGAAATGGTATTTAGGAGTGGTTGATATTTAATGACTTTAGTCATGAAAGCTTCCTCCATACTAGAGTCAAAGGTGCATGCAGCCTCCAAAACAAACAGCTCTCTACACTCCTCATTAATCACAGCAACATCTGGTGTATTAGCAGACAGGCATGAAAAGATTTCAGAATTACTGTTAAGATACTGAAACATAGATGGTTTTACATTAGAATGTTTGTATATTCTTACTAAAGGTGGTAAATGATTTGATATGTCACGCGCACGCTCACGCACACAATCACACGCACGCACACACAATCACACACGCTCTCACACGCACACACAATCACACGCGCATGCACACGCTCACACACGCACGCACGCTCACAATCACACACGCACGCACACACAATCACACGCGCATGCACACGCTCACACACACACGCACGCACGCTCACAATCACACACGCACGCACACGCTCACACACACACACACACAATCACACGCGCATGCACACGCTCACACACGCACACGCTCTCACACGCACACACAATCACACGCGCATGCACACGCTCACACACGCACACGCTCTCACACGCACACACAATCACACGCGCATGCACACGCTCACACACGCACACGCTCTCACACGCACACACAATCACACGCGCATGCACACGCTCACACACGCACACGCTCTCACACGCACACACAATCACACGCGCATGCACACGCTCACACACGCACACGCTCTCACACGCACACACAATCACACGCGCATGCACACGCTCACACACACACGCACGCACGCTCACAATCACACACGCACGCACACGAGAACGCGCAATCCCTAACCCTAACCCTAACCTCAGAATATGAAGAATATTAAAAACATTAGGAGTCAGCTGTCTTCAGCAGTCCTTAAGGTACCAGCACAATAACACACTCAGCAAAATATCGTCTAATTATCGTCATCCATAAAATCCCAGAAAATATCGAGATATAATTTTTGGTCAATATCACACACCCCTAGCGTGCGTGTGTGTGTGTGCGTGTGCGTGTCGGGTGGTTGTTAGCGGTTATTAGCGTGAGTGTCAGTCACACAGCAAGCGGTCAGATGTTTCTCAGGGTTTATGGAAGGAAGTGACTGTGTCAATAATGAGTGTCTGACAGGAATTCACTTCCTCTAATGACGTGTGTGTGTGTGTGTGTGTGTGTGTGTGTGTGTGTGTGTGTGTGTGTCTCAGGTGCCCAGTCTGTGTGAAGACCTGCTGTCGTCAGTGGATCAGCCGCTGAAGATCGCGCGTGATAAAGTCGTGGGCAAAGACTATCTGCTCTGTGACTACAACCGTGATGGAGACTCCTACAGGTGCGTTAACATCTAAAAGAGATACGCTGCTCTTTACATGCACTGAATGTCTTTGTTTACCAAAAGTAAAAGGATTTATTTGCTTTTGAATAGGTTTTAAAATATTAGTTTTATGCCTTTATAAATCCAGAAAAAATTTGAAAATAATTTCTGAGAAAATAAAACATTTAATAGGGCCTATTATTGTAAAATAAAATTTTAAATAAATGATTAAATTGTTAAAAATGTATTTTATTTTTATATTTAAATTTTATTAAAGAGTCAACTGATTAGGCATGCTTTTTGATGTTAAAACACTAAACCATCAAAAAAACAAACATTTAATTAAAAAAAAAATGTGGAAACATAAAATGAGTCTCATAGGGCCCTTAATGTAAGTTTTTTTTTGTTTTTTTTTTAACTCAAAATAAATTGTTCTTAAATTGTAAAAGTTAAGTGATTTGAACAAATTAGACAAGCTTTTTTATTACTAAAATTTTATTTAACTTTTAAAATGGGATTCAAATAAAAGGAATCCAGTCAAATTTAAATAATAAAGGTGTTTGTAAGGAAAAATAAACCGAATTTGGGAAAACTAAATTGGATTTAAAATGGCCTTAAAATTGTTTTTTTTTGGTTAACCTTTGTTAAGTTGTATAAGTTTCATGATTTTAATTAACTGGACATGCTGATCAAACTTTAATTTAACAGCATGCCGAAATAAACAGAATTCAGATTAAAAACTGAATCCAGGGAAATTAAGTTAAATTAAAATGGAAAAAAAGGAAACCAGAAAAAAATGAAAATGTAAAACACAGAATTTGAGGGAAAAAATAAAACCAATTTCACAAGGCCTCAAAAATGTAGTTTGATCAGTAGCATAAGTTTCATGATTTCAATGAATCAGTCGTGCTTTTTGATTGCTGCAGTTGAACTGAACAAATAAAACCGAATGCGGGTGAATTTGTCAAGGAATGAAGACTCTGGTGGTGATTGTTTCTCTCAGATCTCCCTGGAGTAATAAATACGAGCCTCCGATCGACGACGGCGCCATGCCCTCGGCTCGTCTGCGCAAGCTGGAGGTGGAGGCTAACAACGCCTTCGACCAGTACAGAGACCTGTGAGTACACGCCCACCACACGCCCCCGCGCTCTGATTGGGCGGCAGCCGTGATTGACGCTCCGCTCGCTCTCGCAGGTATTTCGAGGGCGGGGTTTCCTCCGTCTACCTGTGGGATCTGGATCACGGATTCGCCGGAGTCATCCTCATCAAGAAAGCTGGAGACGGCTCCAAGAAGATCAAGGGATGCTGGGACTCCATCCACGTGGTGGAGGTGCAGGTGAGAGCCGGCGCTCCACTTCCTGTGCAGACAGGAAGTCCATGATTATTGTAGCTCTCGTGTCATTTGTCAAGCTCAGCTATTCAACGCTGCTACTGAAATTATTCAAACTTTACAAATTATACAAGAATTCGTTCAAATGAATGAAAACTTAGATTTATGAAAAAATTGTGTTGGGTAGTGAGGTTTGGTTTTTGCTTTATTACATTTATTTACGGAACATATTGTAAGTTTCAGTAGTTTGGAAAACTGTTTTAAAGTCTCTTCTGCTCACCGAGACTGCGTTTATTTGATCAAAAATACATTTTGTGAAATATTTTTGTAATTTAAAATAACTATTTTGTTTTATCTAAAAATTACTTAAAAAGTTAGATTTTGTTGTTGTTGTTGTTTATTGCCAGTAAATAATGTGAACTGCTTTTATCTCCCAAATCTTGGTAACATGGTTTCAAAAAATGTAAAGAATATCTAAGATTAATTAAAAATTAAGCAGCTCATATAGTATGATATAATTTGACCATTCGGCGTTGACTATATTATTGTAAGAAATATTTTATAGTTTATTCAAATGAACAAATAATCAGATTTATTTTTTAAAAATAGTGTATTTTTTTATTTACTATATGTTTAACATTTTTTAAAATAATTATTATAATTTTTTCTTTATATTTTGCCTGTTTATTTATTTATTTTTACATTTCTGACAATGTAATATTGCTAGTTTTTTTTTTATTTCTAGTAAATAACAATCACACGAGTCAGGATTTTAAACTGCGCCCCAAATCTGTGTCATGACATGAAATCATTAAACATTAGCCAAACGCCTTCAGTTTGACTTCCTGAGGTCTGCTGTTGTTTGAAGATTGAGCTGCTCTGTTCAGTTTTCTACAGTAATGCTGTGGCTCCAGACCACCAAAACCGGCTCCGGCACCATGAACCTGGGCGGCAGCCTCACCAGACAGGTACCGCTCTGACCTCCGCTCTGCTTATAGCACTCAGTGGAGTCATGTGACCGCCTCGGGTTACCCTCTGACCCGTGTGTGTGTGTGTGTGTGTGTGTGTGTGTGTGTGTGTTCAGATGGAGAAAGACGAGACGGTCAGCGAATCCTCTCCTCACATCGCTAACATCGGCCGCCTGGTGGAGGTGATTCTCTCACGCAGATGCTAGTTTAGCTCTCGTCTCGTCATACACACGCTCAAACTCTCTCTCAAGACCAAGGACATCGTCAACGGCCTGAGGTACGTCACACGACTCAAAACACCAACGCTAGAGCTAGGGCCGGCCGATTCGGCAAAAAAATTACAATCTCGATTTTTTTCAGAACAATTCTTGATTTTTTTAACGATTTTTAACTAGTCGACTTGAAAATGTAACCACAACATGATTCAAGTAACTTGTTCTTTATTAACCCTCTAGTTAAAGAAAATTATATTCCGAGTGCAGCACACATGAAGCTGTCAACATGATGTAAATGTTAAACTAATCGCTTGTTAAGTAGGCCTATTTTTGCAGAAAGGATGCATGAACTACAACTACATCTTGTACAAACTTGTTTTACACATAATATATGTTCAGAAATAATAAAAATCCTAAGTCAAGGTAATTCAAATTTAGAATGACTAAAGATATAACAGCAGTAGAGTATTATTAACTATAAATATTCTGTAAAAACAACAGCAGCTTTCAGTCTGTCACCGTGAGGCAAACATGAAATATCAGACATACGGTAGTAGTTCTTCACAGGTTTATTATTCGCTTGCGCTGCTTTCCCATTGTTTTTCTGTGTAATTATGGACGCGTTTGACTGTTGCGCTCACGTCTCTTGCAGCGTCTCATGAAACAACGGTCTAAAAACACATATAGATATACTTTTTTTCATTATTTAAATGCATCTGTTTTTATTTATATTTTATTAATTTTTCATTTCTTTATTATTTGTTATTTTGTTTGTTTTAGACTATGCACTTTAAGTGCTGTGCAAGTATATAAGTGCAAGTGTGACTGTGTGTGTGTGTGTATATGTATGTGTATATATATATATATATATATATATATATATATATA